GCAGGTCCCCAACCTCGCTGCTCACAAGACTCTCCTTGAGATCCTCTGTGAAGCAGAGATTCCCCCCGACTCACTGCCGAGAGATTCAGATTCCCTGGGTGGGGAGGTCTGGAGATCTATGTTTTTAATCAGCTCCCAAGTGATTCCCAGTAGCCAGATAAGTGTGAGAACACTGAATATTTTTTAAAATCTTCAGAAATCTTCAAATGAAAATGACAAGGCTGGAAATCTGTTTTCGGAAGACTGTGAAGTCAGTTGGAGAGAGCAGGAACCAGAGGCAGAGAGATGAGGTAAGAAACTACTACTATTGTCCAGGAAAATCATAATAAGGGCATGAATTAGAATAGAGAAAAACAAAGGGGTAGGGGAGACGGAGGAAGGAGGAGGATAGAAGTCCTGGCCATTCCAGTGTGGATGCCCACCCAAATCTAGAAGTAACTGAACAAAGGCAACTAGAACAAACAGGAATCCTTGCCTTGGTGAAATATATTTGAACTGGGTCAGAAATGAGGCCAATGGGTATCAAGCCTTACCTCCAGCGCCCCTTGGAGGTCTCTGATGTGCTGCAGGCTGACCAGCTCCTGACAAAGAAGATGGAGCAGAGTGCTTCTCATGGAATGTTCTGGGACCTTAAAACAGACACCCATATGATTTTCATGCTTCCCAGGGCACCTATGGGGAAGAAGTTCCACTTAATCCACAGTTGGGATTCAGACATGGGTTGACCAGTCTGATGGATGTTGAGTTTATGGAGGTGGTTGAAGTACAGCGAGAGCCAAGTGCTTCTGAAATAAAATCACATTGAGGGAAGAGGCTGTGAATGTGGATAATCCTGGACATAAGGCAAAAATACCATAGGGAGTAAGTGTTGTGGTTTAGTTCAAGACTATTGATTTACCTGGCACAGGCCCACGTCAGGGTATTTGTGTTCTCAAGAACAGAGTAAATAAGGACCTAGAAGCTCTGATTTGGAACATTCCTGTAATTGGGCTGTTCTCTAGGGGCAGTTGGCCCTTTTCTGCCTTCTGTGGAGGAAAAGGGTACTGGGGCTGAGGTCCAAAGGAAAAGCTGCAGGTGGTAGCGTGGAAATTGATCTGTAAGCAGCAGAAAAAGAGAGGGCAAAAATAGAGAGGTGCCAAGGCACAGCCAGCACCTGGTTATCTGTGAGAACCTCAGTGGACGTGACAACACAGTGTAGAGGAGGAACTTAGGGAAAAGGATGGGATTTCTACCATTTACGCATGTAGGGGCTCAGGATATTATGTAAATAGGAGGATTTTGAGTGTAGGCAAGGCCAGAAAATCCATAGCTTACTTGCAGAGTAAGTCATGTCAAGCTCACTTTATTTTCTTGGTATATTTATGAAATATAGTTATTGGATTAATAGACCGTGAGAATGTTTTTATATATATATATTAATTTCAAGAAATTATTTGAGCAAATTTTTCATCTTTTACATCAGGATAGAGCACTCAAAAGATAAGGTAGTGTCACTGCTGATTAAATATTCTTTGTCCAAAGGCTGTTAATCAGTGGCTGATAGACAAGATTTCTTTTAAATGTGCTACAAACTGGTAAGTTTGTGTGCCTCCTATTCTTCTCAATACTATTTCTATTTCTTAGTACTCCCTGTATCCACTGGCCTAATCACATCATTCCTTTCTTTCTTTCTTTTTTTTTTTTTTTTTTTTTTTTTAGACACAGTTTCACTCTTGTTGTCCAGGCTGGAGTGCAATGGTACGATCTCAGCTCACCACAACGTCCGCCTCCCGGGTTCAAGCGATTGTCCTGCCTCAGCCTTCTGAGTAGCTGGGATTACAGGCATGCACCACCACGCCCAGCTAACTTTGTATTTTTAGTAGAGACAGGGTTTCTCCATGTTGGTCAGGCTGGTCTCAAACTCCCGGCCTCAGGTGATCCACTTGCCTCAGCCTCCCAAAGTGCTGGGATTACAGGCATGAGCCACTGTGCCCGACCATCATTCCTATTTTCAACATCTAGAAATCAGTTCCATAATGAGCATGTCTAAGAAATAATAATCTCAAATGCTATTCCACTTTTCCACTTCCCCACTCCTAGTCCAGCTGAGGCTAAACGTCTCCCCCTCCAAGAAGGGGCCTCTACAGCACCACAACCTGCTTGTCTGTCACATGACAGATTTCCACACAGGCAGCATTCAAGTGCGATGGTTCCTGAATGGACGGAGGAAACAGATGGGGTCGTGTCCACCAGCCTCATCCGTAATGGAGACCGGACCTTCCAGATCCTGGTGTTGCTGGAAATGACCCCCCAGCAGTGAGACGTCTACACCTGCCAAGTGGAGCACCCCAGCCGGGACAGTCCTATCACTGTGGAGTGGAATGAGCTAGTCTCTGATGACCCTCTAGACTCCACCTCTGGAAAGCAGGGACTCTCTGGCTCTGGGGTTCACTCGTCTTGTCTTCTGCGTCTATACCCTGGGGCCATGTCCAACCCTGTTTTTCTTCTATACAAGACCCTGAGTGTAGTTTTAATCTGGGGGCAATGGAGACTTGCCTGTCCCAGCCTAGGAGGTCCTAAGGATTCATAGTTCCTCTCCTTGTCCAAGAATCTAGGGACGCAGACACGTCCTGAACTGACCTTACACATGGAAACTATTGTCTTCCTTCAACCTTTTAGCTTATTCTAGTTATTCTGAAAGGCAACTAATTGAATCTGCATTTGTCTGTTGTTGAGGTCACATCCTCTGTTCCAGAATTGAAAGAGTGACTGTTTCTCAATTTCCTATCATGCAAGGTGTATCCCCCTCACTGTCCTCATGCCAATATTCTGCATCAGGCTCCAGGATCTCAGACAGGACGTGAGCAGCGGTGCAGCTGCTGGAGGTGACACTCAACCTGAGCCTGTTCTTCACAGAGACACAGTCTGATTCTACCCAGAGCAAGACGCTGACAGGAGCCGCGGGCTTCGTGCTGGGGCTCATCATCTGTGGAGTGGGCATCTTCATGCACAGAAGGAGCAAGAAAGGTGAGAAATCCTGTGAGGTGACCGATACTTGCCTTTCTCCCGACTTGCTCACCCTTCTTCCATGATGAGGGGCTGAGACAAAAAAGCACTGCCAGAGAGCTTACTGAAATCACATAGTCAGGGAACAAGGACAGCTTCTAAGGAGAGAGGAATCCCAGCCTAGCATCTTAATGCAGCCAGATGCATGAAGTCCCAGTTACTGAGGCTCCTGCAGAGTGTCCATTGAGTGATGGGCAATGGAAGTGTGACGGAAACGTTTCTCTAATTGTCTGAGGTGGTTTCAATAGCTGAATACATTCTCTTTCCTCCTGTCATTTCAATTCAACAAGGATCTGCATAAACAGGCGATATTCCTGCTTTGATTTCCTTATTGCGGGAGTTACAGGAGGACATAAGTCCTTTCTGTGCATTGTGACACTGAGACTCCTCTAGGAAAAGAGTCTGAGGCCTGAACCCCTGTTTCAACCTCAGCCCTGGGGTGAGTGGGGAAAGAGCATTGCATGGTTCCTTTGCTAAAGGAAGCTCAGATCAACTCTCTTCTTTGTCAGCGTGAGATTCAGCCTCTCACCATTATTTTTGTCTCCTGGGACTTAAAGGAAGGGGGCCAGCAACCTGGGATAACTTTGTTTTTTACCTCCACTGGGTTCTTGACCTTGCCTAAAAGACTAATGTGCCTTGGAACAAGCATTTTCTGTTTCTTTATTCCCAGTATCTGCTTGAAGGACAGACCCCCAGCCTCCCAAGAGGATGCTGCTGCTGAGCAGTTGCCCTGAAGCCAGTTTCTATCATTCTGTTCCTGGATTCAATGCATGGTTTCTTTCATGGGGCCTCCAGCCAAGTTCCTTTCCCCTTAGTGCCATCAATAATCAAAACCCAGCATGATCGTTTTCTGTTAAGAATATATACCAAGTCATGTCTCATCACTTTTTTTCTTGAGAGTTTTGGCAAACAGTGAGAGTTAATAAAGAAGTTCATTGTGGTTTACACGTAGGAAAGAAGACAACCATGAAAATGGGGATATCCAGGCTATTGTATAAGGTGGCCCGTTGGCCATGGACCTCTCCTGGATTTACTGCATTTCAGTGAGCTGCTCCATCATTGTGTTTGGTGTCTTCATCCATTCAGGTCTGAAGCCACTATTCTTAGCTATTCAGTGGTGAGCAGACTGCAAATCTGTGTTATAGGGCCCATATTGACATAGCACTGATTCGACATATAACTTACTAAGAGCATGTATTAGCATTACTGTTAAGAAATTAAATGAGCATCAGAATTTACAATGATAAATATAATCTAACACACTTTCAACATTTTCTCTGAATGCCGTCACAAATACCCCTTAACCAAATGTTGCTTGGCCTTTTGAATGCACCCAGTAGACATTTATCCTGTAAGTCTGCATTCATTCACCAGCCTAGACCTCCTGAGCTAATAATTCATACAGAGAGAAACGCCTCCCTATTGTTGAAAGTGCAAAGCACTTTCAAAAAAAAGATCAAACACTGATCTTTTTTTTTACAGTCCAAAATTGTTACATGTTTTGCATTTCATATTAAGTTACTGTAAATCAAGGTAGAAGACATGTTTGGTCTAAGCTTTTCTTTTCATGTAGAGGATGGATTCTTAACTCCTGATACACCTAATGAGCACTCAGTGGCTCTCTGACATATCCAGTTGTTGGCTTCCTTCTCCCTGACTTCTCACAAGCAGCTTCTGGGCCTTGTGTGCCCCTGGGCACCTATCCCTGGTCAGTTTCCCAGAGCTACCTGTGTTCCTCTCACTATCCAATCAGAGTCATCCCCTTCCATTTTTGTCCCCTGGAAACATGCTATAGGTGTCAGCAATACCCAGAGTGGAGTGAACAATCTCCAGACTAACCCTTGCAGGATGCAAAACTGAGGTATCTGCACCCATAATGCACCTGTATCCTACAGTTACAGGTCCAGGATTTGCATTCCTAGGGAACTGAGAATATAAGCAGTCACAGAAAGGCATCAGATGTGTCTAGCTCTGACATACACAGGTATTTATTGAACTCTGGGATTTCTCAGGAAAAATGTGGTGCAGAGAAAGGTCCCTGATGCGACCACAGCATACAGACCATCCAGTGTGGGCACCACCTTGTCACTATACTTTAAATTCTTCATATTGATTGAGTGCTATCTAAATGTCAGACCCTTTGCTGAGTGCTAGGTGCAGGAAGATCACAGGCAGCCAGGAGGTGGAGGGGTCTTGAGGTACATAAATCATTGTGGTTGAAGAGCAGAGATTCAAAAGAAAGCTAGGCTGGGAGCTTCAAAGGAGACCTGAAGATGGTCACTTCCTTATATCAACTTCTGACTGAGAAAGTTTGACACCTGGAGTAGAGCCAACACAGTGGGGTTAGGACTGCCAGCTTAGTGTTCTGTCCTCCATCCCTTTCCATCCCTGGTCCCTTCATTTTCTGCCCCTCACAGCATGAATAAACTCTGACAGATGCCAGACCATCTCCTTCTTATCCAGGTGCACAAAGAACTGCTCATCTTCATCAAATTCAAACACATACTCCCCAGAGGGTCTGTGTGTCTGCACAAACTCTGCATACTTTGACACAGGGTCTGCTGCATGAAGGGGAAGAAGACTGCAGAATGGTGAACATGTAGGAAACGACACAGAATACAGGAAGCAAGCAGGTAACAGGAAGGTTTTTAGGAATGCAAGGGAATAACAGAAAATGAGAAATGCAAAACAAATGAAAAGAAAAGGAATGGGGATAAACAACGACAGAGATGACTCATAGAAGATTTCAGGTGTTTCCTTGGTCTCTGAAGACTTACACATCCCTCACACCATTCCCATAATGATAACACTGAACACAATCAGAAAATATTCACTGAACATGTACCATGTGCTCAACTTACTCATTGAATCCTCACACTTCCATGTAGAAGTGTTAAAGAAAAACATCTGGACAGACACGGTGGCTCATGCCTGTAATCCCAGCACTTTGGGAGGCCAAAGCAGGTGGTTCACTTGAGGTCAGGAATTCAAGATCAGCCTGGCCAACATGGTGAAACCCCTTTGTCTCTACTAAAGATACAAAAATTAGCCAGGCATGGTGTCTGTAGTCCCAGCTACTTGGGAGGCTGAGTCAGGAGAATTACTTGAACCGGGAGGGGGAGGTTGCAATGGGCTGAGATTGTGCCACTGCACTCCACACTGGGTGACAGAGTGAGACTCCATCTCCAAAAAAAAGAAAAAAAGAAAAACTTCAGCTGAATTCAATTCAAAAGAGTCAAATTGGGCCAGGCGCGGTGGCTCACACCTGTAATCCCAGCACTTTGGGAGGCCGAGGCAGGTGGATCACGAAGTCAGGAGATCAAGACCATCCTGGCTAACATGGTGAAACCCCATCTCTACTAAAAATACAAAAAAATTAGCCAGGCGTGGTGGTGGGCGCCTGTAGTCCCAGCTACTCAGGAGGCTGAGGCAGGAGAATGGCGTGAACCCGGGAGGCGGAGCCTGCAGTGAGCCGAGATCACGCCACTGCACTCCAGCCTGGGCGACACAGTGAGACTCCATCTCAAAAAAAAAAAAAAAAAAAAAGAGTCAAATTGAGCAATGAATGATTCGCGAATCCGGCAGCCTCCTGAGGCAGAGTGGGTTCAGAGACTCCAGGGCAGGCATGTGGTGGAAGATTTATGGACAAAAAAAGGAAAGTGACATACAGAAAACAGAAGTGAGGTACAGAAACACCCAATTGGTTACAGCTGGGTGTATCCTTATTTGAACACAGTTTGAACAGTTGGCTACATATGATTGGCCAAAACTTGGTGATTGGCACAAATGTGGGCTACAGTCTGTTTACACCTCCACTTGTTATAGTTCACGATGTACAGAGAAACCTTTAAGCCAAACTTAAAATATGTAAGGAGACAGCTGAAGGCTAAACTTGATTTAACAATTTTGCTTTTTTGGTCATCTCAATTTTGAGAGATTGACCAAAACTTTAGTCATTGATGCCACTATCACCATTGTAAATGTACTTATTTGGTCTTGAAACCCACTGGGAAATAGCAGAACAATGAGTTTTGTAAGGGGGAACAAGGACTTCAGTTTATTTGTTTATTTTATTTTATTTTTGTAAGGGTTAGATTACAGGGTACCTCCTTTTTCTGGAACGTTCCGTTTATAGGATAAAAAACAAAACCTGGTCTGTTCTAGAATCTATGTGTTTCCTTAAAGTCTTAGTTTAATTATGTCACATTTAGCACGAGGGATTTCATTTTGGTATGGTCTGATCTGTTGGAGCTTAGTGCATTTGGACTTTCATTGAAGTCCAAAACAATGGTCTCTTGTGATTTTGTTTAAAAATATCCCCTTTTTAGGCCGGGCGCGGTGGCTCAAGCCTGTAATCCCAGCACTTTGGGAGGCCGAGACGGGCGGATCACGAGGTCGGGAGATCGAGACCATCCTGGCTAACACGGTGAAACCCTGTCTCTACTAAAAAGTACAAAAAACTAGCCGGGCGAGGTGGCGGGCGCCTGTAGTCCCAGCTACTCGGGGAGGCTGAGGCAGGAGAATGGCGTGAACCCGGGAGGCGGAGCTTGCAGTGAGCTGAGATCCGGCCACTGCACTCCAGCCTGGGCGACAGAGTGAGACTCCGTCTCAAAAAAAAAAAAAAAAAAAATCCCCTTTTATTCTCACTTAAGTGAGAACGTGACCAAAGCTTAGGGCCTTAGTGTCACTCTCAGCTACCATCATTTTGGGTTTCCAGTCTCGGCACATCATTCATAGGTTAAAGTGCCCTCATGGTCACACATTTCTTTCACTCTTGTCATTCCAGGTGAAAAGAGACAATTTGACATTCTAGAGATGGCTGCATGCAAACATTTAAAACTTTCGAGAGAATACAGTGCACCAGGTAGACTACTATTATGACTATCAGGAGGATAATACCAAGAGTTTGGAGTATGCTCCTTACCCAAGGTCCCCATAAACCAAACCACCTGAAATTAAATAGATCAAAGAATGAACTAAATAAAGAGTTACTCACTTAACTAGGCAGTCTCTTCATTAATTACCTACAACTGAATCTCTGTAGTACCTGACATGATGTATTTCTCCATAGGCCACAAGTGCCAGCAGCTGCACAGATACTTCTCTGTTTAGCCAGTAAGTAACCTACAGCAATCCTATTATTAAGCATAACGTTCACGAAAGAATTTAAAATATGTTGTGTAACCATAGCCCTTACAGTAGACTCTGTTGAGAGCCTATCATGAGAGATGCATTTCTAATCATTGCCTGTTTTACTCCAAATCATGGTAAAAAGGACGCTTCTAGAGGAATGAAGTCCTCCTGGCAATGTTCTCTTTAACCCATGACGTGGAATAGGGGAGTGAATCAATGTTCTGTTTCTGACTGATGATGAGGCAACCTATGTACCGTTAAAATTCCTCACCTACACTGGGCCTTCATCTTTCATCTGTCGAGGTGTGAGGTTATCCATGTATAAGGCTAGCTGCAAAACCCTTCACAAATAAAAGTATACCTACCCCATGAGTGCACACAACAGACCCCCTTTGTACTTCTATTGTTCATAGAGGCATAAGCAAGGAGAAAAATACTCAAAGATAAGAGCCTCATTATAGCAGAGAAGTCGTGATCTGTGATCTTCATAAAAGCTCTTCACATCAAGGATACCATCTTCCTCTGGGGAGAAACTTCCCTGGTTAGCTTTACCTTAAGGGTTTCGATGGGTGTACAGTTCCAAGAATGTGGAGGGATCCTTCTCAGTTGAGAGATTATGAACCCAAGGTTCACGGTTCTGATGTTTGCTGCAGTGTGGATGGCAGGGGCACTCTTTCTCTGATGTTCTCAGAAGATCCAATCTTCAGGTTCCAGATTGTGAAGGGATTGATTGTCCTCAGTCAGTGAGCCATAAAAAGCTTTCTTTATCTGGTGAAAATACACTGTGTCATAATAATCTACTGTTATAACATCAGTTGACTTGTATAAGAAAGCTTTTTCACAACCAGAAAACATGCACTGAAAATGACAATTGACTGAAATCCCTTCATAAATGTTTAGATGGCTCACTGGGTAGCAGAATGTACCTGAAGCTTTGATTATCTTCCCAGGAATATGGATTTGGCAAACCAAACATTGGTCATAAACTATTTTAGCAATATAGAAGTCACCACACCAATATGCATTTAACTTGGATCATTTTATCTTTTCCATGATGAGTGATGGAATGCAGGACTTTAAATTATAAAAGCTTTAAAAGCTCAGGAAGGATAAGGCAGCCACCTTGGTTCTCCATGAGTCCATGCTTAACACGGTTGTTTCTCCAGTTGAGGTGCATAGCACTGATAACTGATGGGTTATCACAGGTAATTTGAGTTAGACCACGGAGTTTATTCAAATTGTATATCAAAACAATTTCAGTATTGGCTGATTTAGCATGAAAGACTTGCAAAGTATTTTCTTGGTATTCAATTAATTTGTATTCTACTTGGAATAACAGTTTTATAAACCAGTCAGTCTTTTCATTAAAGCTCCAGGAAGCCCCAGCTACTCTACTCGGGAGGCTGAGGCAGGAGGATGGTGTGAACCCAGGAGGCGGAGCTTGCAGTGTTGCAGTGAGCCAAGATCACACCACTGCACTCCAGCCTGGGCGACAGAGTGAGACTCTGTCTCAAAAAAAAAAAGCTCCAGGAATTTTCTTACCCAGTAAAAATGATATGATTCTAAAGTTATCAGAAACCTGTAATCAAGAGTACTTTTGGGGGTCCTTTCCATCCTTTCAGAACCTCCTAAAAGACACCATATTCTAGAATTGTGCCTACTTGTGAAGTTTTCAGAAACTGCATCAGCATTAAGCAGTTAACTGTGGAAATGACCTTCCTTCCTTCCTTCCTTCCTTCCTTCCTTCCTTCCTTCCTTCCTTCCTCTCTCTTTCTTTCTTTCTTCCCTTCTTTCTTTCTTTCTTTCCTTTATTTTGAGACAGAGTATCACTCTGTTGCCCATGTTGGAATGCAGTGATGCAATCTTGGCTCACTGCAACTCCGCCTTCCAGGCTCAAGCAACTCTCATGCCTCAGACTCTCCAGTAGCTGGAACTACAGGTGTGCACCACTTATCCAGGCTAATTTTTGTATTTTTAGTACAGACTAGGTTTTGCCATGTTGGCCATCCCCAAAAGGATACTTAGCCTTAGATTTTCAGAGGGATCTATCTGCTTTTGATTCCTGGTATTTCATGAGGAAAACAGAGGTTTATCCCAAAACAGGATCTGTAGTGCCTCCTCTGTTTTTCCCAAGGAGTCCCAGGCTGTTAGAAGTTACCTTAAGTCCTCTCATGTGTGCAACAAAAGTGACAAGAAGACAAAATGGAGAAAAACAATTCAGTTGGCTAAAAAGAAAAAAAAAACTTAAAAAAAAAACAAGATCCAAGAAGAGAAAAAACCAAAAGGCCTTTTAAATATACCTATAGCTTGGATGTCCACTTTTAATTAATCTGACTTTTAACTATAGCGCTCTTTCTAAAAAAAAAAAAAAACAAAAAAAAAACCTTTTGTTTGGTTTTTGAGATGGAGTCTTGCTCTGTTGCCTAGGCTGGAGTGCAGTGGTGCGATCTCAGCTCACTGCAACCTCTACATCCCAGGTTAAAGCAATTATCCTGCCTCAGCCTCCTGAATAGGTGGGATTACCAGTGCAAGCCACCACATTCAGCTAATTTTTATACTTTTAGTAGAGACAGGGTTTCTCCATGTTGGTCAGGCTGGTCTCAAACTCCTGACCTCAGGTGATCCACCCTTCTTGGCCTCCCAAAGCGCTGGGATTACAGGCATGAACTACTGTGCCCAGCCTAAAAAAATCATTTTAAATATCTTATTACTCGACTTTAGCCAGGCTAAACAGCCAATATGTCTGGCTTTTGAACTTTACCAAAGGCAATCTCCCAGGTGAAACCAATAAGCCTTAACTAAGGTTATGACTTAACCACAAGTGTACGAGGTATTTTCAAAATGGTAGCAAGCAATTTTTACAAACTCTAGAATTTCCAAACATAGCTCAGAGAAAGGAAAACTCAAGATGAGGAGTCAGAAGTTGTTCATGAGGGGAAGAGAATCAGCAAATAGCAAAGATCTCAAACCAAACAGGTCTCATTCCCTGAGCTGGGATTGAACCCTGGCCACCATCATAAGATGGTAAAGCCTTAACCACTAAGCTACACCACTGGTGGTTTCCATTGCTCTTCCCAGAAGAGGAAGAGCGGCCAATTTTCCGCTTGCAAAGGCTTTTAACTGTTCAAGACAATTTTTAGAGCTAACTATGACATGAACTCCAAAATTCCTGTCCTCCAGATGGTGGAGACCAAAAGCAAGTACCATCATGTGGTTATAAGGTCAAGCTCCCAAGGACATACAACAAGATGAGAGGGAATCCTTATCCAGTGTTTTTTGGTTTCAGGGACCTGCAGTTTGTAACTGACCAGTTTGCCAGGCTGGCTTGAACAGCAGGCTTCTGGGAGTCCTAGGCCCACATTTGATCCTATTTAACCCCTTTTTATGACCAAATGACACAGAAAGACCAATTCATAGCACAAAGTACACCAGATCTGCTACAGCTTAAAATTAGCTCACAAATCCTTTTTATCATTAATTAAAACTTTGCAGAGGACACCATGATTTTTACCATTCCTACAACCATTTCCACACAGAGAGAGGCCAGAAGTCCGACTGCTAAGAAATTCTTACCTTTTTGCTAGCATGCCAGGCTTCCGGGCTCCCTCTTTCTGAGTGGCCCTAGTGACCCTGTTAGCTGCACCCTGGTGTGTGTGGCCTGGGGGCCAAGTCACAATGCAAAGGAAAATCATCTTGTTTGATTTCATGAAACCATAGGCAAAAGCCTCTCAATTTTGTAAGATGCTGCCCAAGAGATTGCATGGGGGAGCTGAATTAATATTTTCCCGTCCAGCCACAGCAAAATACATGTGACAAAACTTAGACATTAGCCACTCTGCTTAGTGCCCAATATTGAACTGGTAAGGCTTAAACTTGCCCCTGGTTGGGCTCTGCTATCTTTAATCCATTCAAAGTGGGGTGGAATGACCTCCAGCCAGGAGTTTCAACATGTGGTCTCTAGGCAAGATGTAATAGAAAGATAGAAAAAGGAAAGAAGAGAAAGAGAAAAAGAAAAGCATTGATTGCAGCAGGGTGGAGAAGGAAAAGAGTTCAGGGAGGCCAGAGAAGGACCCATCTATTGCAGTGACACTAAATTAAAAGTTCAGGGACGGGCGCGGTGGCTCATGCCTATAATCACAGCACTTTGGGAGGCCAAGGTGGGCAGATCACCTGAGGTCAGGAGTTTGAGAACGGCCTGACCAACATGGTGAAACCCCATCTCTACCAAATGCAAAAAATTAGCCGGGCGTGGTGGCGGGCGCCCGTAATCCCAGCTACTCGAGAGGCTGAGGCAGAAGAATCACTTGAACCCGGGAGGCGGAAGTTGCAGTGAGCTGAGATTGTGCCACCGCACTCCAGCCTGGGCGACAGAACGAGACTCCATTTCAAAAAATAAAAAACTTCAGGGAGCTGCTTGTCAGTCATAAAGGGATCTTTTCCAGTCGTCTCATCAGCTCTCAAGTGTCCACTTTGGGGAGAAAAAAATTCCCCATGTCTCATGATCCTATGCATGCCTCATCCTGTCACCCACAGCCATCAGCAAAAAGTGCAAGGCAGATTTAATTTTTTAAATCAATTAGTTGCTTAAAATTTTTATTTATTTTTTGTAAAGTCTTTAAATGCAAATATTGAATTTTTTTAGAAGTTTCTGCATATCAATAGGCATCGCTACATGAAACTGTACATGACTGTACATGACACTAATTTGGGAGCCCTCATTTTCAAATGCACTTCAGTGCAGTGTTGTTCTTTTGGAATGTTCCACTGCAAGTTCTTTAGTAAAAAAAAAATTTTTTTTTTTGAGACACAGTCTGTGTCACCCAGGCTGGAGTGCAGTATTATGATCTCAGCTCATGGCAGCCTTCACCTCCTAGGTTCAAGTGATTCTTGTGCCTCAGCCTCCCGAGTAGCTGGAATTACAGGCACATGCCTGGATTTATTTTTATTTTTATTTTTAGTAGAGACAGGGTTTCACAATGTTGGCCAGCCTGGTCTCAAACTCCTAGCCTCAAGCAATCTACCCACCTCGGCCTCCCAAAGTGCAGGGATTACAGGTGTGAGCCACCACGCCAACAATTTCTGTAAGACTTTGCTCCTTCCAGGGCCTAATACTTATGCATGTGTAATCCAAAAGGAATCCAAAAGTTCTTCAGAAATTAAAGATCACGTTTTTACCTCAAATACTGGCTTTGCCCTCAGGTTCCCTTGTTCAACTTAGCCAATTATTTTTTTTTTCCTACATAAGTGCACAAGAAAAATGAAACAAAGGAGTAGAACACAAAAATCCCTGTGAATTTCCAAAAGCCAAATTTTACACCCTTGCAATATTGCTATTTAATACTGGTTTCTTTCTGATCCAGTTAGATGTAAGAGGCCTCTAACTAGATCCAAGCCAGTTAATTACTGGAGCCAATCCGATCCTGGACTCAGTTCAATTTCTTTTGCGACTTTCAAACCCAATCAGGATCAGAAATTTACTCAAAGAAACTCAAGAGAGCTCAACACACAAATCTGTGGAGCTTCAGAATCTGAGACAGAACTTACCACGATTCCCAGCTGCTCCGAGAGAGAAAGAGACACAATGAGCCCAGAGTGTACCTCGTAGGTAACTCAGCACTCCTGGGGGTCATTAGAAGCTCTACTTCCAACCCCACTTCTGACACCACCTAATAAAAGAAAAACTTCCGCCGAATAAATTTTAAATGAGGTTAATTGGGCAATAAACAATTCACAAATCGGGCAGCCCCCCAAGCCAGAGTATGCTCAAAGTCTCCAGCCCAGCCGCGTGGTGGAAGAAAGTTTACAGACAGAAAAAGAAAAGTAACATACAGAAAACAGAAGTGAGGTACAGAAACAGCCAGATTGGTTATAGCTCAATGTCTGCCTAACTTGAACACAGTTCAAACAGTTGGCTACATATGATTGGCCAAAACTTGGTGATTGGCACAAATGTGGGCTACGGTCTGTTTACACCTCCACTTGTTCATGATGTACAGAGAAACCTTTAGGCCAAACTTAAAATATGTAAGGAGGCAGCTTTAGGCTAAACTTGATTTAACAGAAGAAATTATTTTACATATTAGGGAACTGACCACAGAAATAAAGTAACTTGCCCAAGTCACACAACTCCTGGTAAAAACAAAATTGCATAGTCCCCCTACCCCATTCCCATAGGGTCTCAGAACCCCTACAGGACCAGACATAAAAAATACTGATATAGCCACAGAGCAAGGCAGGGAAGTGGGGAGATGAAATCAAAATCTTTCGGGGGAAAAAATAATGCAGGACATGAAAAGACCTCCAGAGTCTTAGTGCTATTTATAGACTTCAAGTTATGTTCTTACTTTTAGAATGAAAATGGTACCTTATATAATTTTATCAAAACACTTTCATTTTAAGGCATAGTAAATTTAAAAGTGTTGTCATTCACATAACATTCACAAAATGTTCTTGTTGAATGTATATTTTCAAGTGTAGTTTTACCTGGAAATAAAAGTTGTTGCATTTGAAACACCTATGGGATAGTATCTTAGCTTTACCTGATGTATAAGAAGCAGCAAAAGGTTGAAAACAAAAAAGTCTATTACTATTACAGTAAAAGAACAAAGATGAGAGAGCACAGAGTTCAGCCTGGAAGAGGACGCAAAGCGAAATGACACTGCATGGTGGTTGTTCCCTAAGCGAGGATTTCCCCTCCAAGCCCAACACAGGGAAAACCAGTCCTCTCCTTGGATGCATCAAGTGACAGCACGTTCAGTGTCACACACGGATGCTGAGGATCCTCCACTGAGTTTATGGGCTAGAGAATTATTCACCTACAGAAACGAAGCCCAAAGAAAAACCAAATGAAAAACGTGACATACAAGCTGTGCCACAGAGGTGTAGTTTGTTTACCTTAGGTTACTTTGTTTTTATTATATTCACACAGTCTAAAACTAAAGGTCTGTGCGTTTTAAAGCAAATTCCACCTTCAAATGTTAATTTTCATTCCGTTAAATAAACACTCATTGTGAATGTTCGCTCTCTAGGCACTAAGGATATAACTCAGAAGACATGGGCCTTGTCCTCAAGCTGCTTGAAATCCAGAATTCAAAGAGGCAAAGAAAAGAAGATTGCTACATGTGTATTTTACTTCGTGTTTTTTCAATTTTTTATTTCCATAGGTTGTTCTGATCACCACTGAGTACCATAAGATATACACTGGAGCCACTCAGGAGCATAAAGAGGGCACTTTGAAAAAATGAGATTTAGGAAAGGTTCCTGGGGACTGTGTTTACCTGAGGTTAGCAAAACAGAGAAAGGGGAAATGGCATTTCCAGCAGGAGAAGCAGGCTCAGGAGCAGAGAGGCATGAAGTTGCAAGGAGAACTGCAGTTCTTCAGCGTGACTGAAGCCAGGTGGGATGTGGGCCAGGCTGCACTGTAACCTGCCTTGTGTGCTGATGGCAGGTGTTTGCGTTTTATCCCACTGGACATGGGAGGTTGTGAAGCATCTTAAGCAGGACAGTAACATGATGAGATTTGTGTGTGGAGGGGGCAGCGGTAAGGAGGATGGGTTGGAGGAGGCTGGTTTGAAAGCAAGACCAGTACAACTCTTCAGCCATCAGGTGGGAAGTCATGAGGGTGTAGGCAGGGGCAGGAACATGGGGTGAGGAAGACAGCAGATGGGTTTGAATGGCAGTAATGACATGAAAGGCCACAGGAATCACTAAATCTTGTGCCAGAAGTAGGGATATGAAGGAGTCCAGAATACCCAGGCAGTGTGGAGAACTGCGGCATCAGTGACTGCAAAGGTGATGAAAAATGAAATAATTGAGAGAAGGTTAGATGTTCTGTTTGGAACATGCTTAGTTTGAATATCTGTGGGAACAAATGAAGTTAATCTGAGGACAATGAGCTAAATGGCTGGGTCCCAGGCTACATTAGGTTAGTGACATAGACTGGAAGGAGGCTCATTATAAGCGAAGTTCTACATTTGGATCGGGTCACTCAAGAAAAGTACACAAAGTCAGAATAGCAAGGGTCTGAGTGTGTGCTCCTGCATCCAGACAAACACAGACATGAAAAAAGAGGCTGAAAAGGAGAAGACTAGAAAGTAGGAGGAAAAAAAGAGGAAGTGGGTTCATAAAAGACAACAGACAGGAGAAAAAGGTCAGGAAAGAGGAGCGGATGCATCACAAACACACTAATGACACACAAGAGATAGAGACAGAGAAGTGACCACTGGTTTGGGTTGTATAAAGGTCACCCTGAGAGCAGCATCAGAGATGTGGGGAAGAAAAGGGGAGAATGCAGTGGGTTGAGGACTGAATGAAATAGGAGAGAGTCACTAACGGGCTGGGTGTGGTGCCCCACACCTGTAATCTCAGTGCTGTGAGAGGCTGAGACAGGAGGATCACTTGAGGCCAGGAGTTTGAGACCAGCCTAGGAAACACAGTAAGACTCCATATCTAAGAAAAAATATATATATATTTTTTTAATTATCCAGGTGTGGTGACAGACACCTGTAGACCCAGTTACCCAGGAGGCTGATGTGAGGATCCCTTGAGCCTGGGAGTTCAAGGTTGCAGTGAACTGTGATCATGTTATTGCACTCCAGCCTGGGCAACAGAGAATGTCTTGAGAAAGAGAGAGAGAAAAGAAGAAGAAGAAGGAGAAGGAGAAGGAGAAGGAGGAAGAAGAGGAGGAGGAGGAGGAGGAGGGAGAAGGAGGGAGGGAAGGAAGGAAGGAAGGAAGGAAGGAAGGAAGGAAGGAAGGAAGGAAGAAAGGAAGGAAGGAAGGAAGGAAGGGGGAAAAAAAAAAAAGCCACATTGCAGACTCCTGACTTTGAGGAAGCTGACCTCTACAATTTACAAGAGAATCTCCAGAGGAGGTTGCCAAGCCCTGGCTCTTCTTTCAGCACAAGGACATGGGGGAAAGGAGACATTTCTGAATCTCTTTGAGTCTCAGTCTTTTCATTTCTAAAATTGCGTTAATGAAAGCCTTTCTGAAAATGGTGTTGTGAGGAAGGACATGAGGTTTGGCACTCAGGAGGCGTTCAGTAAACAGTGGTTATACTGTTTGTTAGAATGGAGAAAGCAAAAGGGAGCCTCACGCAAAAGTAAAGAAGAGAGAAAAAAAACGGAAAGAAAAGCTCTGTGGACTCCAGAAGCGCCCAGAGCCCCCTCTCCCTCGCCCACCTGAGCACTCACCCCTGATGACCTGGTTCCGGGAGGCTCAGCAGGGCAGCCAGGGCCGTGGTTCGTCGGATCCTGGCTCTGCCCTGGTCCTTCAGTCTTCAGGGGCATCGGCAATGGCCACTGTGCGCCAGACCCGGAGGAGAAAATGAGGCGGTGCAGGGAGGGAGGAGCTCCGAATCCAGCACTCCTTTCCCACCCCTGTCCGGGAGAAA